AGTAAGCTTGTGTAATGGTTCGAACTGCGAAGCTATTGTGTGTTGTTATTACACCCAAAAAATGAAAAGCAGAAAGAGAAGTGATGTACAATGAGAAGCTTCTTTTATTGTATAACTCAAGAATAATTCAGGGTAATTAATTATTTTCTTTTGTTAGAAAACCATATCCATAGATAACCATGTCTATGGTTCTTTACCAAATAAGTATAATAGACATAAAAAGATCAGTACAAAATGATAATAAGGTTTGAAACAATTCAAATTACAAACAGTATGAAAGATAATAATACCAAAAAAATAATAGTATCACATTTCGTAATATTAAATTTATCTTTTATTATCTTACTATTTGGTTACACAAATAAAAAAATATATGTACTAGCACAGTTGTACAACGTTACTATTTAGTGTCGAACATCAATCTTAAAATTAGATATGATCTAAATTACTACAAAAATCATTGAGAAAACAAATTCATGGCGATCAGAGGGTTCACTATTAAAAAACTAAAGTTCCATATAGATTTCACGAGAGGAATAAATAGAATTATGACAAATCGAAAACTATGAAATTTTTATTCCACTTGTTCCTTTACAATTTTAGTAGATAAATTTTTATGTTTTTCTTTCACATAATGAATGAAATTCTTTTAACTTCATTTCTGGTAGCAGAAGTTTTGGCTCTAAAAGCTGCAAGTACCGCATCTATAACTTCGGAGATAAGAGAACTATACGTTTTCTCATATTCTCAATCTCTTGTCGCTCTCCTTTCTTCCGGAGATGTGATGAACGAGKTAAATTACATTCTCTTCGACATTCGTTGTTTGTTGAGATCATTTTCTCCTTCTATCTGCTTTACTTATATGTTCTGCATAAAGATAATTTAGCAGAAGAAGCTCTTTGCTTTTTTCTGCTTTCTACTTGTAAGCTTGTTTCAGTTTAATAAAAATTTGATTTGAACCCAAAAAAAAAATTTAATTGATTTTACTCTTCCAAAAATACAACCATTTCTACTTTCAATAACTATATAGTTTGAGTTTTCTACTAAGATTTTAGTCATGGTTGACAATGTAAATATTCTTATATGGCGGCAGAAGTACACGATTCTTCTACAACAAATCATGAAAACTTTTGTTCTTGTTTGCAATAACACATTTGAGAAATCTGTACATATTTTGCTATGCATCAAAATCGTTTTAGTAGACGTGCTAACATGTGAAGTCGAAACATTTTGTTTTTCTCCTATATTCGAGGATGAAATTACTTTTATTATTTGAATAATTATATATAAATATAGTTTATAAAATTTTAAAGAAAAACCATAAGATTTTAATTCAATTTATTTTGAACCGACCCTACGAAGCATATATATCACACTTCACAAATCACAAGTCTTGTCCAAAAACAAAAACAAAAAGATGGACAAAATCTTGCCTGCATTATAGTGGGGGACCATGTTTTGTTGATTTTTCTTTGCTCTTTTAGGCAGTCATGTGAAGGTGCACTAAGTTGTGAGTGTGACACGTGCCAAGATTTTTATAATTGTTTTCTTCTTAAGGTTACAAGTGTTAATCATCAGCTAAAGGCCTAAAACCAAAAAGGTTTGGTTAGGTAAAAAGGTATTAACTAAATAATGTCCTTCTAAAATGCTCTCGGACATGTCCATTATTAAAATTTTATCATACGTACATACTACGATTTCTTTTTAATCGGGATACACTAAATTGATTATGTCTACGGTATTTAAAAATCCCGATTTACTAATGGAATCAAGAGTTAACTTTTTATTAGTAACACCACCACAAGTCCACAATCCACAACATGATGGGATCGTAGGTAATATATACAATAGTTGCAAAACTAATGATTCCCTTTGAACTATTCTCTTGTTTTTTTCCAGCTGTTGAAAGTGGATTAATGGAATTTCTATAGGAAATTAAAGTTTACTCATAGATAGAGTCTATTATCTTATTATATAAAAGAGAATGCATACGATGAGAATTTGATACGTAGATAAAATTCTTAAACACTAGATCATGACATGTGTAATTGTTAATTTAGATTCTGACATGTGTCAATATTAACAAAAATATTTAAAAAATAATAATGAATATATTCTAAATAAGGATTATTGACTAATTGAGAAAAAAAAAACAAAAATCGTCTACTAAACTATGTAATATTTCCAATATTAACAAAAATAATTAAAATAAAATAAGGAATATATTCTAAACAAAGATTACAGACTAATTAAGAAAAATGAAAAAACCGTTCTACTAACATAATTGAGATTTCTATATTTTTTTATTACAAAATACATTCTTTCCATTATAATTTTTTATCTAAATAGTTAAAAACAAAAAATGTCATATTGATAAGCGTGATTTTGCT